TTTCTATATTTAGCCAAATGACTTCAAAATGACCTCCGGACATTCGAATTCACTTTCGATTGCGCTCTCAACTCCAGAATTACCATACAGAGCTATTTCCAGACTCGGAATCCCAAACGGATATCTATAACACTGAAATGCCTTCCAACCCAAATTTATGCAATTCTTCTAAAATACTAACTTCCACAATATACGCTGAAATGCTCACGGGTTATCCAAAATCAAATTCGGACATACGCCCAAGTCCGAAATCATCATACGAATATGCTGGAACTTTCAGATCCCAATTCCGAGGTCGTTTACTCAAAATTCCAATCTTAGCCATACTTAAGGTTGCCGCAATGAAAAGTTTCTTTCTAATTTGACTCCGAATTTCCCGAAATTCAACTCTGACCATACGTACAAGTCAATATACCTGAAATGAAACTGTTCATGACTTCCAACTGCTGAACAACGCGCTAGAGCTCAAAACGACCGGTTGGGTCGTTACAGTTTCCTTGGATATGTATAAACAAATGGAAAAACTTTTTTTAGGAGATGTTAGACTCGGCGAAGTACTTTCTGGGAGTGCGATCTAGTCAAAAGATTTTTTTTATAAATTATAAGATTAGAGAGCTCCAGTCATCATAAATATAGCACAAAGAGAGGAAGGTGATCACCTTCCGAAGGTAAAAGCCGAAGAGAATTAACATAGCCGAAAAATATGTAATTCTGCAAGAAATTTTAATCGTAACCCGACCCCGCCTCGCACAACACTTCAAAAAAATTTATTTCAACCTAAGGGTGTTAAACGGGTGGGTCGGGCTGGTCCGAATTGGGAAAAAATGAAACCAGCCGGTTTCCCAACCGAGCCGGTTACGGGTTAATCTTAATCGGGCTTAACGGGTCCGGGTCTATCCGGGTAAAAATGAACCGTAAAGGTTACGGGTCAAAGAGGCCGGGTCGGGCCGGGTTAGTATTTTTTTTGTATTTTGTATAACTGTTGTAATTTATATTAATATATAGTAAAAATATAAAGAATACAATGAATATGGAAAAAAATTACACTTATAATTTGCAAGTGCTTTTTTAATTTCAAACATACAAATTGAAGTTTGCATTTAATTTAACAACAACTTAACGAAAAAAGAGTAAAAATAAATTTTCATTGCATAATAATACTTCAAATTAATCTAACAAACTAAAACATTAAGCATAAATATGTTTAATAATTTTAAAATAACACAAATTGTCTCAAATCAACTTAAATACGAATTTCTGGAGGACGCTCAAGACAACTCTTCATATGCCTCCTTAAACCGCCTGTGCTCACCCACTTTAAACGAAGATTTCAACTAGACCATAATTCTTACACTTTACTTTGTGAACTTCTTCATTTTCTTTTACCACCTCAAAGTGTTCCCAAACATATGAGCGCACTATAGAAGTACTGAGCATGATTTAACTTTAATTGAGAATTATATGAGTTTGAGAAATGAGAGATGAGTGAAGAAATGAAGAAGGGGAGGTGTATTTATAGTTTTTCAAAGGGCTAAATTAGTAATTATAAAAAGTGTTATTTTATAAACAAATGCCCAAAAAGGGCTATTTGTGCAATAATAACGTTGGGCAACGGCCATAAGGCAGCTGACCTTTGCCAACGTTCTTCAACGTTAAAAAAAAGTTCGAAATCCAGCCGTTAAACCGGTCCGGCCCGAATGAATGAAAGTGAACGGACCAACCCCTTAACCCCAGTAACCCAGCCCACTTGGCCCCCTAAGTATCGGATCGGGTCGGCCCGGGTTTTAACCGGTTTGGGCCGGTCTGATCCCGGGTCAACCCGGCCTGTTTGACACCTCTATTTCAACCTGTCATGTCCCGCATATGTCTAAACCCGCCATGCCCTGTACATGCACCACCCCCATTGCCATCCCCACCTATAATGTGTCAATATTATTTTTATCAATTTTGAACATATATATTTTTAAAAAATATATTTAACTTACCCACCACCTATTAGAATACATTTTTCACGAAAAAATGACTTCCATCTTAGCAAAAATGTCAATATGATTGGTAGAATTTTTTTTCTAAGTCAAAATTAGCTCCTTTAACTTAGTCCAGAAGCATTAGTTAACCCTTGAAACTAATCTGGACAAACCTCAATATGTTCTTATTAATAGGGAACTAAGGTGAAGACTTGATCGTGATGGTTGTTTTTTTCTTATTCGGTCAATATTTACTGGTACTCAGCACCAGGGGCGGATGTAATGTGCTAGTTATGGGTTCAATTGAACCCATAATTTTTTATGTGGAGTTAATATTTATGTACAAAAATTGATTAAATAACAAAAATAGTAGATTTGAACCCATAATTTAAAAATATTATGGGTTCAATTTTAAAAATCTTAAAACTTGAAACTATAAATTCTGGATTAGCCTCTGCTCAGCACTAGCCTTTGCAAAATCGGTGTCAAGGAAATAATTTGTCTACAAATACTTTCAAATATTATTTTCTACTGTCGAACCCTTAATTTAGTCGTTATATACGTATATAGGAAGAAAATTCCTGCATCTGATTTTTAGAAGGTTTCTTAATTGAAAAAAATAATATCTTAAACAGCGTAACAACAATAATAACTTTCTTAGTCCTAGTCAAATTGAGGTCGAATATATGAATAATATCTTAAACAAAAATAGAAAAACCAACGTACCAAATTCACCCTTACATGCACATTGCATTTTAGAGAAAGAGGCACTCCCTAGTTCTAATTAGTCTGCATATATTCGTTAAAATATCACAAGCTAACCAGTTTTTGGATTGGTCATTCAAAAATAATGAGTATTTGCAAAGTCATTGAAAAATAGTCATTATTTTGCTGCAATAGGGACCGGTCCAACATAATATACTGGAGATCGTGCACCTCTGTATAAATTTCCAATATATTAAACTGGAACTCCAACACGCTGAAAGTTCTAGTATAATATACTGGAGATTGGAGCACCTGTGTATGAACTTTCAGCATATTATACTGGACCGGTATAATATACTGGAACTCCATTATAATATGCTGGAGTTCTAGTATACTTATGCTGGAACTCCAGTATATTATGCTGGAGTATTTCGAATTTTGAATAGTGTTTTCATTCAGATTTATCTTTACATGAAAAGTGGCTAAATTGCGATTACTTTTAAAATTGTGACTATTTTTGAATGACCACTTGTAAATCTGGCTATTTTTGAATTTCTCCCCATATATTCTAGATCCACTCTTGACAGATATAACACTATAAATCTAGTAGATTTACAAGATGAATGATACCAATATATCTCCATAATTCTTCATATTTTATATTTTGAACCAGAATATAACAATGATAGAAAGAAACTATTTAGGGTAACATAAGAATGTTCTGCATCTAATTAATATTATTACGTTGGATTATTTGATTTTTGCCTATCTTTAAATCATGCTAAATTAACGTAGATTTTACCTTTTTATTTTAAATTTTATGTAATGATAATCTAAATGGACGTCTTAACAACTTAAAATTGGTCTTGGATTTAAAACATCTTGAACTTTTATTATGTTGTTTATTAGGGAAAAGGGTCAACTAAGGTTGAATTTTCTTTTGCTTGAGTTGACTTGCCTTTTTTTTTTTAAGTACTAGCAAAGGGTAAAAGTGTGGACTGAGTGAGGAAGTTCGAAACTTGCACCCCTGAGTACAAATGTTGAATTTCTAACTAGCTCTTGACAACTCATTACTGCATGTTACGTTGTTTTGTTATTATTATTAACTGTTTATGTTGATCAGTGACAGATCCAGGATTTTAAAGTTATGGGTGCTCGCCGATAAAAACTTCAAAAGAAGAGGAAAAATGAATTTACTTGTGGGTGCTCACTCAAATATTTGTATTGTTGCCTATATAAATTAATTAATATGGTCAAAGTTAATGGATGCTTAAGCACCCACAACTCTCTATGTGCATCCGCCACTGATGTTGATACTTATAAATCATTAAATTAATAGGGTACGTAGAACGCAATATGTTATCATTGTATAGGAGTTCTTCGTAATTGCAAAAGAAGAAGAAAAAAGGTGTCTTAGTTCCTAAAATAAATTTTAGGGTACGGTAAAAAAAGACCATTATTATTCTTAGTAGAGTACTTTACCCTCAAAATTGGGTTCAACCAATATCTAACAACAAATATACGTGATGGTTCATTTGTCAATATGTACAACAAGAAATGACATTAAATGAATATTCTTATTTCCCGCGCAGTTCAATTATTTCCTAACAATAACCTCATGAATTTTAAAAATAAAAGTAACTCTTAATTTTCTTACCTATGATTCTTCTTTTTGTTGAAAAAAAAATAGGAATGACAAATAAATTTGTTAGAAAAATTTACAAAGTAGTCCAAGGAAGAGAAAAATTGACGGACTTAAAATATGATATTCAAAATACACATAGAATATCATTTATATAAAAATAAATACTATTATAAGATTAGGAAACAAAACTTGCTTACGTCTTAAGGAAATATTCCCTCGTTCACAAATCTTCTTGAGCTAGGAGACAGATTATTAAAGAAAAGGAAACTTAAAGCCACATATCAAAAAATAGATTGAATTAGAGAAGCACTAAACATTCCAAAAGGAAGAAATTAGTGGACGAATCACAAAATAGATATAAATAAAGGATATAAGAAAAACTAGTACATTCTAAATAATAATATATGCTAACAAAAAAGATGGGAAAAATGAAATAAACGTATGGAAAGTATATAGGATCACGATCTTCTCCACATATTGTACCAATCAGCAGTTTTCGGGTAAAACCCTAAAAGAAATGAAACAAATCGTGCATGAAAAATAAGCTATATATCCAACTCCACGCCCCACCTCAAAACTCAACCATCAATTCATAGCTAGCTACTGTACCTTAGTAGGGTTTCCGCCATTCTACTATTTCTTCCTTACTCATAATTTCTTCGCAGCAGTAGTACTGTTCATTAATGGAGTATTCTCAGGCTAAGTGTTTTTCTCGCCCGATGGGTCATCGCTTTCATCCGACGGACAGGGAAGTGCTCAAGTATCTAATAGGGTTTGTGAGAGACGACCCACTTCACTCTCAGAATGAACTCATGCAGGTGGCGGATCTCTACGCCGACAAAGAGCCATGGCAGATTTTCGAAGTTTATGATCAGGGAAACAACAACTACAACAACACTCGTTACTTCATAACGCCGCAGAAGAAAGAGAAGCCAACGTGGAAAAGAGTTTCAAGAACTGTCGGGAAGGGCACTTGGAAGCCTCAAGGCAAAGGCCGAGAGGTGTTTGATGATAAAGGAAGACTCATGGGNGCCCCTGACATTAAATTCTGAATTTTTCCCAAGTTTTTTTGAGTAGCGATGACTAATACTCCGACTAGTATAGAATAACAAATGGAGGATCGAGGGAGTTGGCAGAAAGAGTGTTTGTTCAGGGAGGAGCTGTAGTGTTTCAGAAAGTTTTGCAGTGGTGATCAAATCATCTAAATATCCGATCCACAGAGAGATTTCAGGGAGCTAATGACAGTGGAGAAATAATATGAAGGCATCAAAGGATTTGGAAGAACTTCTCACTTTCCATTTTTCCTTTGAATTCAGATGAGTATCATATGATCTCGTCATCAGGGTGTTCAAGCAAATCTGGTTTGGCATCACTGACATTATCTTAAGCTAAAGCAAATTAAATATATGAATCTATTAATTTCCTTTTCTCATAGTCATGATATGTGAAGTAGTATAATTTTCACAAAAACTTAACACCAATATAATTAATGCTTTTTTTGCTAATAAGGATACTTATATAAGAAATTAAGTAACGTAACAGTTATAATTATTACAAGCCAAGATTGTTCAGCGTTCAAGTCTTCATAACAGTCCTTATTGAAAGCTGATAAAGCAAAGGGAGGGGGAGATAAGTGATATAAGTAGGTAAAATTGACCGAACCTCGTAAATTATGATGTTCCCTTTATTGTTGCTTTGTTGTCTTATTTATTATTTAGTGGTTGTCATAATTTTTGGTATAGTAGTTGTGACTCACTCACACTATATACATTTGACTTCCGCAATAATTGATATCAGAGCCAAGGTAATGTTTAAGTATGCTCTGTGGTTGCAGCATAGTCTGATCTTCCACTTCAGAAAAGATTTATCTTGGTAACTGAGTCAAGGTTCTGTCTGAGTATGCTCTGTGGTTGCAGCTTAGTATGATCTTCCACGCTAGAAAGGAAATAATCTTGATTTGTGTCGTCAGCTATTAAATAATATTTGTGTAAAAAATGGGAGACAATAAACAAGAAAAATATACATCAAGTGTCAATAATGCGTCATCGTTGCCATCTTCGCTTATGACAAGAATTGTATCAAATACGAAATTTGCGGTAGAAATTTTTGACGGGTCAGGATGTCACGACCCAAAATCCCAACCCAATCGTGATGGCGCCTCTTGTGAGGACAAGACCAGCCAATCAACAAAACCGTACATCTCTTTATAATTACTTAGCAGGAATAAGTCTAAATCATTGGCAATATAATCTTAAATGCAAAATAAACGTGATAGAACAAGGAAAACCATCCCAACTCAGCCCGAAATCGGGGTGTCATGAGCTACTACAGAGTTTACTAATATTTTACAAAGTCTGGAATTATCATAAATAATAAAGATAATGGAGAAAATGGGGTTGCGGACGTCAACAGCTACCTCGTTACTCCTAGTCACCACCTGGCCTGGAAAGAATCA